GTGACCGCCAATATTTTTATTTTGTCGAGCTCGAGCAATAAGGTAATATTATAGAAAATTAGATTCCTATCTGCTTCCTATATAGAGATATGGATAACCGCGCCACTGTTGCAGGACCCTGTATAATATAATAATATTATTATTCATAAAAATACATTTATACATAAAAGGAAAAGGGTTAGCTAAAGGCGAATGATTTTTTCAGCAAACAATATTCAAGAAATGAGACTCGAAATTTTTCATTTTGTTGTATTTACGTTAACAGTATATTTTCTCGAACAGCGATGATGTTTTTTGTGAATGAGGGAATTAATTTAATTTTTTTTTCAGTATGGACGGGTCAGATTTGTGCCATGAGGTAGCTCGAAGAGCTTCAGATGGTTTTGTTTACAGTGAAGCCGTTTGCAGGTGAGTTAAACGTTAGAATATTGTTTCAAAGGATTCACATTCTTCTTTTATTTGCCTTTTGATGCTTTTCCTATAGTAAATCTTTCATTTTTTTTGTAAATCTGTTTTTCTACTGATATATTAAAAATGGTAAAAAATATATTTCATTTAATAATTATCATAAACAGAAAATAAACGTACCTATTTTTGAAGTTGAAATTCATTAGTAATCATCCTTTCAAAAATGCTTATCTTATCTTATCTTATCTTACACTGCATTCCATTTAAAACGAGCCACCCTGAATAATTTTTGATACAATGATTTGCAGGAAAAATTTTAAAAAAACACGTCAACCATTATATACAGGGGGACACATTTTGACATATTCACATTTGATGTTACTTCCCCTATGGCACCCCTAGAGTATGTCACCAATTTTTTTAAAATGGATCACCCTATATTGTTTCCTTCTATGATGAGCAGATTTCAACAAAGTTTAAATTATGTGGTTAGAAACTTATGGTTCGGGATCTACACATCATTTGAGTAGAAAACGAGCCACCCTGAATAACTTTTGGACCAGTTATTTTCAGAAATACAAAAAACACCTCAACAATAGTATACAGGGGGACACGTTTTGACATATTCACATTTGATCTAACTTTGGAGAATCCAATAATACCTTGCATCAATAGAGCATTTGAGGAGGATATAAATTTATTCGAAAACGAAATAGTTTTTCTGTAGGATGGTGCACTTCCTCATTATGCAGCTCCAGTGCATTTCTGGATGATCATTTTCCTGGTCGCTGGATTGGCAGAAGAGGTCCTAGAGAATGGCCACCAAGGGCTCTGGATCTCAATTCTGATTTCTTTTTATGGGGTCATTTGAAGTCTTAAGTGTATGAGATAGAATCAGCAACATTAGAAGATTTGAGAGAAAATATCATGAAGGCATAATACGACACGGTCCCAGAAATTATAGTTTTGTCTATGGATTCTCGACAAGTTTAGTGGGGACGAACATTTCTTGGATTCCATTTTATTTTCTGATAAATCTACTTTGCATAAGAACAGACACAGAATGATAGGTACACAAGTTATATGATGTGAACTTAAATGGTCAAAAATGTTTACGAGATCTGCCTGAGTTTCTGGATAATGTGTTGCTAAATATCGTACAACGGATGTGGTTACAATTGGATGGAGCTCCGCGGTAGAATTCAAATTTAGTGTCAGATAGTTTTTGATTATTTGCTATACGATTAAATGAATTGGTTTGGGAGGATCACAAAATTGGCCAGCGAGGCCACCACATTCGACTTGCCTCGATATTTGGGATATTTGGAGAATGAGGTTTACGATACTCCTCCAACCACACTAGAAAATATGAAAGAGAGAATAAGGCTGCTTTTTGATAGGCGACGCCTCAAATGTTATCAAATGTTGAGCAGTCTTCCTTAGAGAGAGTGAATCTTTGTATTCTACCGGATGGTCGTCATTTCGAGCATCTACTTTGAATTGAATAAATTTGTGTTTCATATTTTGTTACGAGGGTTACCACCCATATTATGGTGTATGCGGACGCTACTTCACTGTGAGTATTCGATAATTGCGACATTTCCTTGGAGGAGGAGTGTGACCAAACACTAAATGATTCAGTCTCATGATGTATTTCTTATTATCTGTATTTCAATTCTGGAAAATCCTTTTGATTTCGAATAAAATAAATGCCAACATGACATTGAAATTAATGTCAACCACAGCGTACTCTCTAATGTCAGTGAATGGACATTTTTAGGGCTCACAGTAGACCACTTTCTGAACAGGACTTTGTTGCCAACTCACCTCAAAATGATCCTCTATCACATATTTGATGATAAATCCCAAAATGATTCTAACCAGTGAACAAATATTGAATTTGTTTTAAGGTGGTTGACAATGTTTCGTGGTGCATTTCGTTAGGTCGGATTTCCATTGTCTAATATGATATAAATTGATTTGAAATCACTGAAAGAATCTATACAAAATTAAAAAGATTAGCTGAGAAATAACAATTATATCAAGCAAAGAAAACGAATTTACAATGAATTCAAATACAAGCAACAGTAAAAAAAAATTGAACTATTAATACGAGATGAAAATTAAAAATTATTAACAAGAAACTTCGACTTTGTAGGTACGTGTCGCAGATACCCAACGGAAAAACAACAACTAACCTAGCTGATGTGCACCCAGTGAGCTTTTCGAATCAATTATTCATGAAAAAATTTCAAATCACGTTTCTCCTTGTGTAAGTGAAAAACAACATGGGTTCTTACCTAGAAGGTCCACGATAACTAACCTTGCATGTTTTATACAAGGAGCAAATCAAGTTGTCGAAAATGATAGTCAAGTAGATATTATTTTTACAGATTTTAGTAAAGCCTTCGATAAGGTTGATCATGAAGTTATACTGGAAAAACTATATAATTTTGGACTTACAGATCGACTCTTGAAGCTGTCAGCTTCGTATCTTATAGACAGGAAACAGTATGTAGTTTATAAGGAATGGGAATAAGATGATTTCTTCACAAGATCTGGTATACCCCAAGGGTCCAATCTACGACCCTTAGGGTACTACCTCTGGCAGATCAACTAATCTGCTAGATGTAGTTCAGGAATCTCAATGTGCACTATTCGCGGATGATATTAAACTATTCAAGCAAACCAAAAGTTATGAAGATATGATTTTACTATAAAATGACGTATAGTCCGGGGCATATCGCCTCACATGTAATGTTGACAAATGCTTTAGTATGTCGATTACTAGGAATAACTACGGAATCATTTTTAGCATAAAATGCACAATGAATATTGAGCCAAGAAGACAGAATGTAGAGATTTGGGAGTTACTCTGGATGAAAAACTCACTTTTGAGCAACATGTGAGCAACATTATAAACAGAGCGTATAGAATACTTGGCTTCATTATTAGGAACTCATTCAAATTCACAAAAATATCCACATTACTAACACTTTATAATGCATTTAATGGAATATACTGGAATATGGTGCAATAATATGGTCTCCTTATTATTCAGTCCATAAAAATGAAATTGAAAAGGTACAGAAAAAATCCTAAGATTTCTACATTAAAAAAAAACATGCTGAATATATTTTCAATCCTAGTTATCATACTTCCTTGAATGAATTTAAATTCACAACCTTAGAATTGAGAAGAAGAATGGCTTCTCTATTATACATACATACATGTACATACTTCAATAATAGAAGGAAATATTTTTAGTTTTTGATGTTGTAATCGATCATTGGAGCTGCTTGTTCTGTAGATTACATACTAAATAAAATAATGCCGCCTAGAAAGCTGAAGTAAAACCATCAGACACCTGTCCAATGTCTTCCGTTTGGAAGATTAGTCGCAAGTTACTTCCTATGTATGAATAGATCATATGGATATATCTGTCTCCAATTATTTATTTTATTGTTGAATAAAAGCAACCAATTTCAATAGGCTAACTTTGATACGGTGCGTGTTATCAGTAATACAATCCAGCAGGTTGTGTGATAATTCGAAGTAACTGGTTTCTGATATTTCGATATTTCAGATCAGTACGGCACTCCACTGTAGCTGGTTAAATCAAATGATATATATTTATTCGTTTGAACAATTCTCAACACGAACATTTTTCAGGTATAAAGATGACCATTTTTTATTCCAGCCATTACATGAGGCAAATTCTCGAGGCGTTGAGATATTGCCACGAAAACGACATCGTCCACAGGGACATCAAGCCAGAATGTATTTTGTTAGCAACGAGAGAAAATTCAGCACCTGTCAAATTAGGTGGATTTGGAGTAGCAGTTCAGCTGCCGGACAGACACCCTATCAACATAGGAGGTAAGTGAATTTCTCATTTGAGTTTGGAAGTAGTTATTTCTCTAAAAATTGATGTAGGTGTGACTATGCGTGTTTTTTATTTTGATGTGATCGTTGACGCTTCTTTTGAAATATGTTAATGAAGAGTAAGGATCTAACATTTGGAAATAATCTAATGTAAAAGGCACATAATACCACCTCGTACTCGTGAAAACTTCCACCTCCACATTTTATACTGAAATATGGTAATTTTCTTAATGGATTATAATCATATAATAATTAAATAAATAAAACTTATCGATACAATGAACAGATACAAGACACCAAAATGAACGAATTGTCACACTCCATTGATTCACAAAATCTCACGATAATAAGACCATAATTCTTCAATTCATCTTCGAACCTGATATAATAATGTCAAGACAGACAATTCTGCTTTCTGCTTCGATCAGTTTGTTGGGGGTTAAAATGGACACCAATATGTCTTGGCACAATCATGTCGCTGGAATTACAAAGACTGCTTCTCAAAATCTTGGAACACTGTTCCGAACCAGAGAACTGTAAACACCCCAGCAACTTTTGATGCTTCATAAAGCTCAGATCAGACCTTCTTTGGAGTATTGTTCTCATGTATGGAGTTCAGCCCCCAAAGTTGCTGAATTCCATCCAGAAAAGAGTCATCCGCCTGATTGGAGTCGCGAACATCACGTGCAACCTTGATAGCCTGGAACATCAAAGAAAGGTTGGAAATTTGTCTCTCTTCTATAGATACTTTCACGGAAAGTGTTCAAGTGACTTCGTACATTTGATTCCACCAAGAGCGGTACATATCAGAAATACACGACGGACTGTGGCTGCTCATCGCTTTAAGGTTCAACTCAGTACACCTTGAACTTCACTGTTTAAGAACTCTTTCATCTGAAGAACTGCGTTTATGTGGAATAAACTTCCTGAGAAAGTTTTTCGAAATAGATATAATCTCAAGCGATGCAAATCCAATGTAAATCGCTACTTACGCACAGGCACCGCTCTGAGAGCTCCTTAAGGATTTTCCTGTAGT